TCTTCACAGATTTTGCTGATCCCGCTCCACCACAATGGTGCGCGTGCCCGGATCTTCTGGTGACTCGGGATTTCACCGTGCGTCTCAAGACGTTCAAGTGAAGATTGAACAAGGGAACAAATGTCGTCTGATGTCAGATCGACAAGGACATCGCTGAACGCTAGATCTGCGGATCTACCTAGTGCCAGGAGGAACTCTATCGACGGAAGTGAGGCCGATCTGGATACCGATCCAGATCTGGAAGAAAAATGGTGCGCGTGCCCGGATCTTCTGGTGACTCGGGATTTCACCGTGCGTCTCAAGACGTTCAAGTGAAGATTGAACAAGGGAACAAATGTCGTCTGATGTCAGATCGACAAGGACATCGCTGAACGCTAGATCTGCGGATCTACCTAGTGCCAGGAGGAACTCTATCGACGGAAGTGAGGCCGATCTGGATACCGATCCAGATCTGGAAGAAAAAACCTCATCCCCCACAGGTCTCCGACATGGAGCCCACCCCGCGGATCCTGACTCGCGTCAAGATCTGCTAACAAAACAAACAAAGGTGAAGACCGAACCGTATTCATTTATTGCTCCCGATAAGCCAACACTATATCTGCCCAAGGACACGCAAGTCTCTGGATTCGAGGTTGGGAAGCCGAGATCCAAGCCTGTGCGGAAGAAGATGAAAGCGCCAGATGACGAGGAAGACGAAGATCACCATGGATCTGGCTGGTCTGAAGAAGATCTGAAGTTCACGTATCACCGCAAAGAATTACGTGACTTCGTGGATCAGGATCCAGTGATGCGGATCCTGAAGCTCAAGCGGTTCTCGGATCCGAAAGACCCCGTGACTGCCCCCGCCACTCTAACCAACAAGTTTGACGCAACCATGGAGCTGATCCGACTGGTGAGAGAGGCTGGTATGATCCCTGGATCCTTCGACGCAGTCACACTGTTCGACTTGGATCTTGATGTGATCCAAGCTACCAGTCGCGATCTGTTCCAGAAATTGAAGATCCTAGTCGGCGAGGTGCCCCAGAGCACAGATCCACTTCCCCTGACCACGACCGACGCAGTCGATAACTTGACAGTGTCGTCACACTATGCGTCAGCCGCGGAAGATGGATCCGACACTTCCTCGGAGCCACCGCGACGGATGTCCCTAGGACCCTCTGGGGCATCAATGCTGGAGGCAAGATCCAAAATCCGTCGCTCTAGTCCAGCCAGAATCAGCCGTCGCGATAATGGATCCGCATCGACGGATCAAGCCACTGCCACTGAGAGTTCAGATCGATCTGTCGGTACCTTGCAGAAGTTCTTCAATGCTGCTGTGGACCGATACTTGACCGACGAACGCGAGGCGAACAAAGATCCAGTTACTACTCGTCCACAACATCAAGGATCACAAGATGACGAGATGGAGCCAATTCGATCTTCCGATAATGGATCTCGCTGGGAGTATGAGCCCGATGATGTAGACTTTCCCACCTAGACACAAGTAACCGTGGCCACCGCTGCTGTTGGATCCACATGTTCGGATCCACATGTTCCACTATGATACAACGCGTTCGGATCTCCGCGATCTCGGATCTCAAGGAGTTCACTGGCAAGGATCAAGACGAAGATCGAGCGCGAGCGTGGATCAGCAAAGTCAAGTCCGCGCTCATGCGGGATCAAACACCGGATGATGAAAAATACTTGACCTTCGGAGATCTTCTCGCTGGATCCGCGAAGAACTGGTATCGCCAGCTGGGTAGATCTACTCGTAACAAATGGAGCGATCTGCTGCGCAGTTTCCAGATCCAGTACTGCGGGCTTGGAGTATCGGTAGCAAGACAATACTATCATACACGACGCAGGTCCGACGAAGTCGCCACTGGACTACTTGTATGGAGGGACTTCGCGCGAGACTGAAGATCAAGGATGGCAGCGCGAAGGAACGACGTGAACATGTGGATCATTACATCGAGACGCTGGAGGATCAAGCTCTAGCGGAACGGTTAACCTTGCTGCGGTTAACTGACGCGGATGATCTTGAAGAAGTCCTTCGCGCTCGTGATCGCGCTAAGGATCGTCAAAAGAAGGCCGCGTTAGGATCCAGCAAATACCGGCAGAAGCCAACCAACACTACCCCTTCCGCTCCAGCGAAGCAAGTGCGCGCGATCCAGATCCAATCTAACAGCGCCAGCTCTATAGCGACAAGGCGAAGATCGTGAATGTCGATCAGTATCTTCGGATCCAAGCAGGAGAGTCGATGGAACTGCGATTGCGCCTGGGTCGTCGATCAACGACAAGCTGTGGGTCACACGTGGGGATGAATGGGTGCTGACAATATCCGACGAACCAGGGAGGACGAAGTATATCGCGATCACCAACATCGTGGACGAGGTGTTGATCCTACATCAAGACCAACGGATCGGGATCTGGCTGGCCGGAGATCATGTGCCACGACTACCGGGTTTCATCTCGATCGGGTCTCGTTGCTACATGGAGTGGCAGAACCTAGCGTTAGAAGCCACGACAGACGCTCGATCCGAAGATATGGGGATCGAAGCCCCGCTGGAGACCGCGGTAGAGCGGCCCGAGTACAAAACTCCGCGCACAGTACTTCAGAGGCCGAAGACGACGGCTATCAAGTGTCGGAAGTTCGAGGCGAGTCAGGATCAAGATATTCCCGACTGCCTACCTTCGAACAACTCACCGTCGGGTAAGTCGCCGTCGGGCAAATCGCCGTTGGAGATTCAACGTTTGGACTAGCGTCGGTCGCAGGTGAGGAATCGGATCTGTTGTCTATCGCAGATGGAGACTATATATCGCATGGCGTAACAGTCAAGGAGGCGCTAGAAGATATCGATCGAATAACGCCAGACGCCTGGACAACGGATCCGCCGGTGGTGGAAAATGCAAGTGCGGTAGAAGTGCGAAAAGAGGAAGGTCGAGATGGATTTGGAGTCGTCAACTAGGATCAACTACACTTGGGATATCATGATCAAGGAACATCACCGTCGAAATGCGGTGGATCAGATCCGTCATCCATGATGAGTGTACAATCTGGGACGAGACATGTGGCAGGTGATTCGTTGAACCACATGTGCGTCGCGGCTATGTCGCAAAAAATCGGACACCTGTTGTTGAAAATCAACCAGACGTGTCGGATCTGGATCTCACCTGGAACTCAGATCAAGATTACGATGAATGTGTGTACTACCATGAAGGAAGTGATCTGTACGCGGAAGCTGTTGACGTTCAGATGGCGGTACTGCCTGAAGTGCCTGTTACGACGAATAGTAAGCAGATCGAGGAGATTCAGCTATGTGGGTCTGATAATCAGACCCCAGAAATAATTGATCGACTTCGCCAAAGGATCTGGAAGTTCTGACACCTCTTGATCGGCAAAGGCAATGCCCTGCCGCCGGCTGCCCGAGATGTTGGGTGCGACATCGATGTCGGAGAAGCGAGACCTATCGCCCTGAAGTGTCGTAAGTTGCGGATCCAGTTTAGAGAGAAGTTGGCGGACCTGATCAAAGGTCTATTATCTGCCAAGATGATCGATTACTATAGATCACCGTGGGCTTCCCCGATCGTGGTGATCATCAAGAAAAACGGTGTGGATATCAGGTTGTGCACCGATTATCGGTTGGTTAACAGTCTAACTCAGCTGACGATCTACATTGTGCCCTTGATCAACGACTTGTTTGAAGATCTGGAGTCGACACTTTGGTACTGTTCTCTGGATATGACTAGTGGGTTTTGGGTAGTGACAATTACGGATCGTGCTCATTTGATCTCAGCGTTCGTTACTCCCTTTGGACTGTTTGAATGGAACCGAATGCTCTTCGGTTTGAAGAACGCTCCCCAGATCTAGAAACGTATGATCGACAACGCGCTATATGGATTCACCCGGATCCCGAAATCTGACGACCATGGAAATACTTTGCATGTGTTTGAGGACGGGGAGCCGGTGGATCCAGGCAAGCCATCGGTGCTTGGGCGTTTATAATACATCGAGGACATCCTGATCCCAGCCAATAACTGGGATCAACTGTGAGATCGAGTCGAGGGTTCACTCGAAGCGTGCAATAAGTGAAATCTGTCGATCAGTGTGGTTAAAAGTTTCTGGGAATGCCTAAGGTAGAATATCTAGGCCATAAGGTCTCCCACAATGGACTGAAGGCGAATCCGAAAGACCGGTTGGCGTTGACTGATCTAGCATTTCCAGGATCACTTAGAGCCATGCAGTTTTGGAGAGTCTGAACTACTATAGCCGCTTTATCGAAGAATACGCTATCTTGGCGTCGGTTTTGTATGAATTGCGAGAAATCGACTTTGCAGCGATGATGAAGGACACCACCCAAGCACGGATCCAACGAGTGTTAGAGGTGGAGAGTGTGGATCAAGGACCACAGGAAGATCAAGCGACCGACCCCAAAAGACTCTGGATCTGGAAGCGCAAGATGGATCCGCGTTGGATCCATGCCTATCGATCTTTCAGTGTGCTTAAATCCAAGATCGCCTCTACTCCGATCTTGCGGCACTTCGATCCAGATCGAAGAGCTACGGTTGTGGTGTATGCTAGTGCCTGGGCAATTTCAGGATCGTTGATGCAGGAATATGACAAGCTCTACTATCCCGTGATGTTTGCAAGCCGTACTTTGAAGTTAAATGGGCTGAACTATGGCATCGCGGAGAAGGAGATGCTGGCCTTGCTGAGGTCCCTCGACCTCAACTACAATGCCTTAGTCGGACGTCCGATTCATGTGTTGACCCGACACTCTACTTTAGCGTGGCTCTTCAGATCCATAGCCCTGCAGGGACGTTTAGGTCAATGGAATGCTCTACTGTCGCGGTGACCTCTCGAGATCTCCAAGTGTGTCAAGGGTGAAAATGAGATCCTAGGAACATTGGTGGCGAGCGTATTGCGCCTAGATCACAGGTGGATAAGGCGTTGATCTCGATCGTCCCTAAAAAGGAGCCACGGCGCAAGATCCAGGCTCCGACCCCCACTATTGGACGCGACGAGGATCCATACACCGTTAGTTTCGATGGATCCGCCCGTGTCAAGAGATGTGGAGGAGCCTATAGCGCGATCTTGTGGAAAATGCCAGAATGGAGGGTGTTAAAGGGTACATTTGGCTCCGCTGAAGGTCTAACAGTGAGCGAAGCAGAATATCATGGGCTGCTGTTGTGTTTGGATCTACTGGAAGATTTGGATCTATGTCGTCTAGTGATCTGCGGAGAGTCGAACCTGGTGATCCGGCAAGTACGAGGTGAGATTGACTGTAAGACACCGGGTCGGACACTGCTACGCCAGAGGGTTCCGGATAGACTACGAAATTGGCCGGATCACGAGTTGTTGCATGTTAAACGAGATTGGAATGGGAGTGCCGACAGCATACCAAGTCCCGCGCTGGAACGGCAATGTGGGATCGATGTCGAGTCTGAGAGGGAGATTCAGGATCTAGTCACCTTGAATCGGTTGGACGAGATCCTGGTGGCGAGGATCCGAGATGAGGTCACTCAGATATCTGCTGTAACGACCCAATCTAAGGCTAGATCGGGAGTGCGAGCTGGGTCTGATCCAGGCTCATTACGAGACGAAGTTATGAGAGAACTGCGGATCGAGCGGACCCCGCAAGAACAGGATGAAGAGTCGTGGATCTCAGGACTTAAGAAGTATTTGATTGGAGAGACCCAAGATCTGACACAAGAAGACGCTAAGGTGTTGGGATCTTTGCTATGAATTGTGAAGTGGATCAGTCGGATCTATTCTTCTACTGCCCGGCAACTAAGGGGGCCGCTGCGGATGTCGACAAGTTGATGCGATTGGAGGTGCCTGAGACGCTTCAACAAGCTATTTTGCATCACTACCATACGAGTCTACAGGGTGGTTATCAAGGAATTGGCCGGACCTATGGCCGGATCCGCGATCATTTCCAATGGAGAGGGCTGTACAAGAGCGTATAGCGATATGTGGGAGAATATATTGATTGTGAAACAGGCAAAGGACGGCCTCGGATCCAGGGTGAGTCATCTGGCAACCGTCAGGCAACATATCCGTTCCAGACCATCCCCATGGATCACATACCATCGTTACCCAGATCTTTCAATGGCAACGCAGAGTTGTTGATCTTCATGGATCGGTTCTCTGGATACGTGATTACCAAGGCCAGCGCCTCTAGATCTGCACAGACGATCGCTGA